GGACCCTGTGCAGGACCACCGGCCCCTGGCACAGCCACCACCCAACCCCAGTGCCCCGCTCCGGCGCATCTACGAGCGGCCCAGCACAACCTGCAGCAAGCCTCAGAGGTGGGGGCGTGGGGGGCGTTAGGGGGCACAGGAGAGGGCCTGTCATAGGGGAAGCCTTGGAGTTCCAGCCCTGGGCCTTACAGGGCACCTGCTTCCTTTGGGCTTGGCCTCATGCCCCCAGGGTGAAGCAGAACTCAGAGAGCGAGCGCCGCAGCCCCAGCAGCGAGGATGACCGGGACGAGCGCGAGTCCCGCGCGGAGATCCAGAACGCCGAGGACTACAACGAGATCTTTCAGCCCAAGAACAGTATCAGTGAGGCCGGGCTCCCGCCCCAAGCCCAGCGTCCCCGTCGGTGAAAGGGAGGCTGGGGGTCCTTCCAGGATGGCCTGCTGTGCCTCTACGTCCCTTTAGCTTCTTCTTAACCCATCCTGGGTTCCACACCCTGTCCTCACGTTCCCTGGGCCTTGCCAGCCTGTGCTCTGATGGAACTGAGAGGGGGCCCTGGGCACTCCTCAGCAGCAGCCCAGCAGCTGCTCAGGGTCTCAGTCCCTGCCCTGCCAGGGACAAGTGGGCTGGGAGGGGCAGGACTGAGGGTTCCTGGGACCAAGAGCAGGGTCCACAGTCTGCAGCCGCATGCCTGGGAGCTACCCTCTGTCCCCCGCACTCTGACAGGGCCCTGGGTCCCAGGTGGCCTGGCCAGGAGCGCTCACAGCCAGGGGCCTCTTTCCTCTGCAGGTCGGACACCACCCCGGAGAAGTGAGCCCTTCCCTGCACCCCCAGAGGACGGTGAGTTGGGTGAGCCTGGTTTCCTAAGGTCTCTGATGACCCCCGTCCCTCATCTTCTCTCCCTGTGAGCCCTCCTGACAAGCCCCTTCCCTGGAACCTCCCCTCTCAGGACACGACCCACAGCCTCTCCCGCTGGGTCCCTGTCCTCCACCTGTTATGTGCCGGGTCCCTGCAAGACTGACAGTGCCTCCCAAGGAGCCTGTGCCCTGGTGTGTGGGGGACAGACATAGACACCACCACACGGGCGGGCCTGCCAGGGGCACTCGGGCTGTGGAGGATGGAGAGGAGTCACTGGGGGCCCACCTTAGATGGGGTCTGCTGTAGATGGGATGATCGGGAGGCTCTCAGGAGGCCCAACAACTGCTGAGGCCTGGGGGCCGGCAAGAAGAGGGAGAGGGGAGCGCTTCCGGCAGGAAGGGAGCTGAGAGGCGGGGAGCTGGGGTGAGTCCCAGCAAGAGGTCAGGCCCACAAGGCCTCAGCTGGGGGTTTGGATTAAGAAGGGAGAAAACATGATCTGCGTTGTGGTTGGAGAAGGGGCAGGTGTGGGGCCCCCTGTCCTACAGAGTACCCCTGCCCTCCACCTGGCCTTCCCTCGGGGACCGTCCTTGCTGTCTTCTGAAGGCTGGGTTTCCTAGGAGGCTCTACTTCCATCTTGCCAGTCACTTATCCCAGCCCCCTCCACACACATGCCAGTGAAGGGACAGGACAGCCACATCCTAGAGCCCCCTGGGTCCCACCCACAGGCAGACTTAAGATTGGGTTCGGGGAGAGGGAGGAGGCAGGTCCAGGCCTGCCCCCAGGTCCTCTGGAGCCCCCATGCTAGTGGCCTGCCGCCTCCCCACGCTCCTGCTCCGTCCCCATTGTGATGCTGCCCAGAGCTCCGCCCTGAGGCCCTTCTGGCCGAACCCAGTTATCTTTTCCTTTTGCCTCCAGATGCAGCCACAGCAAAGGAGGCAGCAAAGCCCAGCTGTGCCATGGATGTGCAGTTCCCAGTGCCAAACGTACGTCCATGGAGGGAGCATGGTGTGGGGCCTAGAGAGGGTCCTGAGCCAGGGTTGGGGGTCCCTCGTGTTGGGAGGCAGAGAGGGAGGCCCCAGGCTGGCACGCACTGAGCTTCACACCTGTTTCAGCTGGAGGTCCTGCCCCGGCCCCCGGTGGTTGCTTCCACACCTGCACCCAAGGCTGAGCCTGCCATCATCCCTGCCACCCGGAATGAGCCCATCGGGCTGAAAGCCTCCGACTTCCTGCCCGTGAGTGGGAGCCCAGTGTGAGGCGTGGGTGGAGATCTGTGGGTGGAGAGCAGAGCTTTGCTGCCGGCTCTTCCCGTGCCAGCATCTGGGTGCCCATCCCACACAGGCCGTGAAGATCCCCCAGCAGGCTGAGCTGGTGGACGAGGATGCCATGTCACAGATCCGCAAAGGCCACGACACCATGTGTGTGGTGCTCACCAGCCGCCACAAGAACCTGGACACCGTGCGGGCTGTGTGGACCACGGGCGACATCAAGGCAAGTGCCCACCCTCGCCCAGGGCCTCATCTCGCCCCCTGCCACCTGCCTGCCCAGGCGTGGGGCAGAACAAGAAGAGGCCACCCATGTGGGATAGGCTGTCCTGTCGTCATTATCACGGCTGCTGTTTAGTGAGCACCTGTTTAATGCCTGGCCTTACACTCACTGCGTTAGGTGCAGTGCTCTAAACACCCACAGCCCCTCCAGCACACCCACATTCACGTTCGTGCCCCCACCCTCACCCTCACAGGGCCACACTGTCCCCCACTGCCCCTCCCCTGACAGTGCTCTGTTTGCACAGACGTCGGTGGACTCCGCTGTGGCCATCAACGACCTGTCAGTGGTGGTGGACCTCCTGAACATCGTCAACCAGAAAGCGTAAGTGGCTGCCGAGGGGGAGTGGGTGGAGGGGCAGGGCTGGGCTGACGGCAGCATGTCCTGGCCTCTCCTAGCTCCCTGTGGAAGCTGGACCTGTGCACCACGGTCCTGCCACAGATCGAGAAGCTTCTGCAGAGCAAGTATGAGAGGTGCGTGTGGGGAAGCCATGCCTGCCTCAGGCAGGGGGAGGGGAGAGGTAGGAAGCCTCCTCCTGGACCATGGGAAGCCCCCCAAGAGCCTGGGTGTTCCTGTGAGCTGGCTGTGAAGCATTGCTGCCCCTCAACGGTCCAGAGGTGGGAGTGGAAACAGGCGTGTGTGTGTGTGTGTGTGTGTCTGCCCCTCTCCTCCTTTGTTCCTCGCTGTTTCTCTCTGTCTGTGGCCCCGAGTCCATCTGTGACTTCATCCATCTCCCCCTGAAGCTACGTCCAGACGGGCTGCACCTCCCTGAAGCTGATCCTGCAGCGGTTTCTGCCCCTCATCACGGACATGCTGGCAGCCCCGCCCTCCGTGGGTGTGGATATCAGTAGGGAGGAGAGGTGAGGGCCAGGCGGTACGTGTGTTGGGGGCAGGGGTATCACAACAGGTGAGGGGACAAAGGCCTGGAGGCCCTGGCCCCTCTTCCTGACAGTCCTGTTGGGACAGAGTACAGAGGGTGTGTTGGTCTGGGGCCATGGCTCAGGGCGTGGGTGGGCTTAGCCAGAGCTGGGTTCCTCCATGGCCTGGCTGTGCCCACAATCCCTGGCAGGGCCTGGGTAGTTCCCCTCTGGGCCTCCACCTTCCCTTGGGAGGAGGGGCTGGAGCAGTTAGGACAGCAAAGGCCCTGGGGTTGGGGTGGTGGTGGTGCCAGCTGGCCCCTCAGGCACTGCCCTCTCTACAGGCTGCACAAGTGCCGGCTCTGCTACAAGCAGCTCAAGAGCATCAGCGGCCTGGTCAAGAGCAAGTCGGGCCTGAGCGGCCGCCACGGCAGTACCTTCCGCGAGCTGCACCTGCTCATGGCCAGTCTGGACTGAGGAACGCAGTGGGCAGGGGCGCTTGGCTGCCCTCAGGGCCTGGCCTCAGCCCCCACTCCTGTTCCTTTTGTGCCTAGTGGCCCATGAGCCTCTGCCTGGCCCCTGCCGCTGTCCTGTGGCCGTCCTGGAGGAGGTAACGCTGGTCCCTGGCCACCTGTACAGCCCTGAACTCTGAGACAACTCTCTCCAGCAATAGCTGCCCAGCTTTGCCCAACTGTTGCTTCTTGGGGCAGCGAACTGAGCCCTGGGGCTGCTGCTGTAATTTATAAGGCAAATTTTATTAAATTTGTAACTATTCCCAGGTTTCCTTGCGGGGAATGTTTTCAGCTGGCCACAGAGCTCCCCACGTCCCAGGAGTGCCTGCCCCGTCGTTTCTGAGATGAGGCCACACCCCCTCCAAGCCCTGGGGTGGGGCTCTGGGCCGTGTGGCCAGCAGGGGGCAGCAGAGAGTCAGGCCTGTGGGACATCAGTTCAGCCAGTTCAGACTGGGAAGGAAAGGGAGGCGGCAACCACCCTTCCACCACTGGGTGTTGAGGTTAGGTAGGGGTGGGCCCCACCAGCCGGTCCTCCCCACCTCAGCCACACACAAGTTGTCTTATGGACACCCCCAGGATGCCTCCAGGGGCAGGACTGGAAGGCACCTGCCCCTTCTTCTGAGCAGGGCTCTGATCAGCTGTCATTCCCTGCTGGAGCCCCCAGCACTGGCTGGCAGGAAAGGGCCCACCGCTCTGTGGTCACTGCGACAGGTGGGCCCCCTCCTGCTCCCAAGGCAGGGACCAGGTACAGCCCTGTCCCGGGGTGGTCAGGGTCCTCGGCACTGGAGGAAGGTGGCGCGGACCTCTGGCCAGTTCACTGAAGAGGGAAAAGGCCAGGGCAAAGGGTGGGCAGTGGGTGGTGCCCAGCAGTAACCCGGAAGGCCAGCATGGTTTGGGCAAGGCTTTAATGAGCTTTCGAAGCTCTCTCCAGCCTTAGTTTCCTTCCCATCAGTAACATGGAGGGATGCCCCTGTTGGGAGGTCGGTCAGTTATTGTGGGCACACGGTAGGCACTGCATAAGGTGACTGTGACCACGAACAACAGAGAAAGTGACCCAGGGTGGGACAGCGCGGGCTCCCCCCAGTTGTTAAGGATGCATGTCCCTAACTGACCTAGAGGACAGCTCCTGGAGGGCTGTGGGGTGACCAGCCAGCGCGGGAGTCCACAGGACCTGCCAGTGCCCCATCCCCCTTAGCAGACCAAGAGGGGCTCACAGGCCAACGTTTTCAGACCATACTTGTGTAAAAAGGCTTTTATTTTAATAAGTAAAAATGGCTAAGCTTCCAAAAGTTCTTAAATAGGATTTCAGAGGGAAGAAAATTCAAGAGACCAGTGAGCCAGGCAGGTGAGGGAGCAGCAGAATCCCCCACCCACTGGCTGCCTCTGTCAGCCATAAATACGGCACGGCCCCGTGGCAGGAGCCGTGCGCCTCTGTACACACCCCAGCTGCGGGACCCCTCCCTGAAGGAGAGGGGCGGGGAGGGCTGCCCTTGGTGCCACCAACCCACCCCAGTCCGCGTGGTTCTTGAGCCTGCCAGGAGGCTCCTTGCCCACCCACGAAGGAGGGGGCTGGCCCGTCCTGCAAGCTGAGGAGAGGAGCTGGGGCAGCCTGGGTGAGAGGCCCGCCCTCCTCCACTCTCCTGCCCTCCTCACGGGGCCCAGCTCACTGACAGCCCAGGCCCGCCAGGAAGAGCAGCCACCCCCGCTTTTCCGCCCATGCAATTTGCACCCAGAGCCACAGCCGAGAGACACCGTTTCCTTCTGAACATGTTTCTCATCTCTGAGGGGAGACGGGGCAGAAGAGGAGCCTTCACTCTTGCCTCCACCTCCGGGGGTCCTGGCGCTGCAGCAGGAACAGGCCAGTGAGGCCTCGGGGCCCAGCTCCAGGCCCAGCGGGGTCACATCCGTCACACGGGCAGTGGCCGCGACTTCCCTGCAGGGGCACCGGGATCATCAGCCTCTTGTCCACTCGCCCACCGGCAGCCCACAACAGGTGCCACCAAGAGCAGGAGGGAACCCAGCAGAAGCACACAGACAAACACCAGCGGAGGCTAGACCCAGCCCTGAGCAGCAGAACGTCCCAGCGCAGCCCTGCAACCCACGGGGGCGGGCAGGCGGGTAGCCCGGGGCCACTGGCCCCACACTCACCTAGAGGCTGCAGCCCCAGCCGTCAGGCTGAAATCAAAGTGACAGGCGTCTCACTGGTGGGCCTGCCTCAGGCCAGTACCCCACAGGACCCTGCTGCTTCTACCCCTTTGGACTCAAGGACAGGCCAGGCCTTCCCATGATCTGGGCTAAACAGGGGCTGGAGTCCTGGATCCCAGTCCTGTGGTGGGGCTCACTCCTCACCTAGGACGTAGGCAAGCCCTGCCCTTTCTATCCCCAGGGCAGCTGAGGTGCAGGGAGGGGGGATGCAGGGACTGCTCTGGAGGGGGCTTACTGCACAGGCCCAGCCAGCCCACCCTCAGAGAGCAGGGTCCCAGGGTAGAGTCAGCACCCCAAGCTGGGAGGCTGGGGTCTCCTTACACTACCCCTCCCCACAGACCTTCCATTTCCCACCTGCAGACTGAACACAGCACTGTCTGCCCTGACGACTGCCTGGGGGCAGGGGAGGTTGTAAAACAGGTTCTGGAGAAGTTGTAAGAACTTTTTAAAAAGGAAAGAAAATAGAAAGCCAATCCAGGTAAGGGCAGCCTGGTGACTATTATCCTGGGGAGACTCCCCCACCCACACTTCCACCCCAGGCTCACCCGAGGGCTGCAGCTTCCTCCGGATGGATCCAGGGCGGCTACTGGTCCCAGAGCTGGGGGCTGAGTGGGCCCGTGCTGAGGGCTGTGGCGTCTGACAAGCCGGCTCCCACTGTCAGCAGGGAAGGGCGGGTGGGCGTGGGCCACGGCTGCCCTGGCTCCCCACCCTGCTGTGCTGCTCTCTACTCCCCTGCCCTGCCTCCTAACCTCCTAACACCCAGTTTCCTCATCTGCAAAATGGGCATGATGCTCGTGCCCCAGCCTCACAGTTATGGTAAGAATTAAACGAGATAATACATGTAAAGAAGTCAACTAGTTACCACTGTGTGCTAGGTACAACTAGTACCTACTGTGTGCCACCCCCACGGCCAGCTGGTCACCCCACAGGAACCTCTGAGGCCAAGAAGAATTACCTGTACTGAAGAGGCTCCTGGCTGTGGGTTCCAGCTGTAGCTCCACCCACCTCCGGCAGCTTCCCCGCCCCCACTGCTTCAGGACGTCCCCGCCCAGTTCCCCACTCCTGCCATGACCCAAAGTCTCTGACCCAGGGCCACCTGAGCCAGGCCTGTGACAGTCCCCGTACCTCTAGATGCTCCTGGCTCGACCAGGACCCAAGCTCTGCCCTGCGTAGCCCAGGCCCCAGCTCCACAGAGCGCACCCGCTCAGCAAACTTGAGGGAATAGAGCGTCTCGCTAGTGTTCTTCTCCACAGGGGACACCTACGGGACACAAGAGCTCACTGCCCAACCAGGCCAGCTGCAGGGACAGCAGGGTCACCAGAGGGAGCTCACAGCTGGGGATGTCAGAAGGCTTCCTGGAGAGGACTGAGAGATGGGGTGGGAGGGCAGGCAAGGTGGCAGAGGTAGCGTGGTCAAAGGTGGAGAGGAGGGACTGGGAGTCACACAGGGTGTGTGTGGCCAGGTCTGGGGCTGGGGGCTGTTGCTGACTATGGAGCTGCTGAGACAAGGGTCCCTTTGCACAGCCTGGGGTGACTGGGTCTCGCTGCTAGCGCAGCCCCTCCACTCTAGGGACTGGCCCGCCCTAACCCAAGGCACTCACCTGTACCACCATGAGAGTCTTGCTGTCACCACTAAGTGAATCCTGCAGCAGGTAGGTGAGCTTGGAGTTGCGGAAGGGCACGTGGCCCTGGCGGGAGCGCAGGGCAGCAATGACGTCCCCCAGAGCTGACAGCGACTTGTTGATGTGCTGTGCCTCCCGCAGGCGGCTGCCCTCAGCCCCCGACTTGCCCACGCGCTCGGAGCCAGCCAAGTCCACCAGGTTCAGCTTCCCTGCAGGGAGGGCACCCAGCAGATCAGGCCTGCCATGCCCCTTGTGGTTGTGGGGATCCTCAGGCCAGGCTGCCCGCCACTCTCACCCGTGGTGCGGAGGCCCGTGCTGCAGTCCATGCCTCGCACCGTCACGATGAGCAGCGCATGCGAGCGGGAGCTGTGCTCGTTGAGGTTGGTGAACTCTGTCGTGCGATTGGTGTGGCCAAACTCAAACACCTGGGGGATTGGGAGCGGGAGGGCAGAGGCACAGCGTTGAGAATGGGGTCCTCAGAGTCACCTGGCCCCAAGCACCCGTAAGGAGTGGCACCACCCTCTGCAGTTTAGATGAGGGAACTGAGGCTCAGAGAGGCGTGGGGACTTGCCCAAGGGTGCGTGCTTAGGACACAGCAGAGCCTACATTCAAACCCAGTTCTGTCCTCTAGAGCAGCGTGGCTGTGGTCAGGGGCTCCCTCCTCCACACCTTGTTGATGTCGTCCACGCTCTGCACCTGGAACTCAGTCAGCCCTGGTACATACAGCTGCCCACTGCCATCTGGGCATAGCCGGATCTCCAGTTTTTCCTGAGGCTCTTTCCCTAGCAGGTCCCTGGAGGGGTAGGTGAGACAGTCACGCCCTCCTCCCATTTCTGGCTGCTGTTTGCACTGCACCCAGCCCCCTAGCCAGGAATGTTCCCCCAACCCAGGAAGCCTTCTTCAGCCATCAGCTGAGCGCATCTCTCCTCCTCCAGCTCCTCCACCGCATTCAGCTGACGCAGAGATCTCACTCCACAATGCAATGAGCCCTGTGGGCAGGGCCCCCAGCTGCCCACTCTCACCCACGGCCACCTGGTGCAGCCCACAGGTAGGGGCAAGGATTGCCTGGGTCTGGGCTGGGGCAGGCTGAGAGAGAGCCCCTCCTCCCCACAGGACCACCCAAACTGATGGGCTGAGTCAGGACTTGCAGCCAGGTCCCTTGATGGCCTCATCTGTTCCCTGTACTCCCTTCAGGAAGACCCCACTTCCTATCCCCCATTCTCCAGCACCACTCCAGAGGACCCCAAAACTGCCCCTGAGGCCTGCTCCCCACATGCTGGGGCTCCCACCTGAGGACCTCGTTCCAGCACCACCCCGGAGGACCCCAAAGCTGCCCCTGAGGCCTGCTCTGCACACCCTGAGGCTCCCACCTGAGGACCTCGTTGTAGATCTCCGCGGCGCTGACGGTGATGGTGTACTCCCAGTCAGACGCCTTCTCCTGCACCTCGGAGAAGAGCAGCTGCAGGGCCCGCTGGTTGATACCTGGGTTTTCGGGGGTCCCCTGGGGGCAGAAGGAAAGGCCCCAGTGAGCCAGGCCTGTCCCCAAAGATGCTCGTGTGGCGTCTGTCCCCCAAGCCCCTTGGCTACTCCTCACAGGCAAGCCTCCTTGCCCAAACCTCCTACCTACCTGCCACTGTCCCCCAAAATGCCCTCCACCAGCTGCAGGCAACTGCACCTCTATTTCCCCACCATTAAAATGGTATCGCCCTGCCAGGACTACCCTGAGACTCACTGTCCAGCACTGGGGTGAGGGGCCTGGCCCAGACCCCACATAGGCCAGCCGACGGCCAGATGCATGCCTGGCCCTGCAGGGCCACCTGGGAGGGGTACTAGAAATGAATGACCCCACCACTGCCCAGAAAGCGGCTCAATCTCAGGGAGGCTGAGGCCTGGGCTCTGTGGGTGGTGGAGAGGAGGCACAGGGAGGAGTGGACCAGTGTCCTGGGGCAGGAGGGGTGGGCTGGCCTTTCTAGAAGGAAACCTGGAGTCCCTACCTGGGCCCTCGAGGCCCTGGGAGCCTGGCCCTCGCCCTTCCTCTGACAGTATCTCTCACCCTCTCTCTATTCCTGCCGCAGGGGCCTCCTGGTCGGGCCTCAGGTGCCCCTGGCATGCTCTGGCCTCTTGGCCTTGGCCCTGCAGCTCCCTCTGCCCTGGGTGCTCCTCTGACCTCCCCGTGGTCGGCTCTGTCATCTCCCTCAGGGAGGCTGCTCCTTCGCCCAGCACCCCCAAATGCCCTGTCCCTCCCCCTAGTCAGTTCCGCATCCCTGGCTTTATTTTTCTCCCTGGCCTGACAGGACACTTGCTGATTTACGTGGACTGTGTTGCCTCCCCACAGCCAGGTTGGCCCTGTGGGGAGGGCCCCCTGTGGAGGCAGGGACTGTTTGGGTCAAAGCTGTACCTGGCACAATGCCCGATATGCCTCAGGCATCAGCAGATACGCTTGAGGACGAACGCTGATGTTTCTGGTGGTCAACTCAACTCTAAGCAATCCCAAAGCAGAACAGGGAGCCCAGGGGATGCTGCACACACCCCCTTCCTCCTCCCACCTGGCCTGGCCTGCCCCCACTAACTAGTCTCACTAGTTCCAGAACTGAGGGAACAGCAGAGTCCAGATGGGAAATAGAGGGCCGCCATGACAGGCTCCCTGCCCAGCAGGCCTGGCAGCCCTTTCCCCTGCCCAGATGCCGTACCACCTGGCCTCCTTCTGACCTAGGGAATCCCACAGCACCCCTCAAGAGTCAGGGCTAGCTTTCCACTGCCCTCTGCCCACAGTCAAGATCCTTCCTCATCTCAACGCCCCCCTCCCTGGCCAGCCACGTGCTCCACCACACCTGGGAGGGCGCCGGTGACGGGCAGGGAGAGGAAGCCTTGGCCTGGCCCCAGGGGCCACCAGCAAGAGCTGGGCTCCCCACCACAGCCTCCGCATGCCAGTCTTGCCCTGGGATCTCCTTGAGGACTGAGACCAACCACTCATCCCAGATCCCCCAGGCCCGGCCAAGGCAGCCGTAAAGCAGGAGCGTGCAGTGCACAGTCAAGGTGAAATGCAGCCCCGGTCCTGAGAGAGGTGGGTGGCCTGCCCTGGACTCTGTCCCCAGGCCAAGATCCCTGTGATGACAGACCCCCCTTGCCTGTTCCCCAGTCCTGCTGGGCCCATTGTGGGTACCGTTGGGCAAGGGGGCCCCCTCTTAAGGCCTGGTGCCTTGGGGCTAACACAGATAACTACAGCCTCTGCTCCTGGGTTGTGAGGACCAAATGAGGCAAAACACACACTGCACAAAACCCCAAGACCAATGAAGGAGCCCGCATTCCCTTCATACTTCACTGTGAACCCCCACCCCGTGGGGCAGCACCCACCTCCATCGTGTATGTCTTGCCGGCACCCGTCTGGCCATACGCAAAGATGCAGACATTGAAGCCATCGATGCAAGAGGTGATCAGGGCCTGCACCTCCTGGAACACCTGGGAAGATGGTGGGAGGGAGGCTGGTGGGGGGCTTCCAGGACCACTGGGACCACCAGCTACAAGTCCAGCCACCTCCCCAACCATGCTGCCCTTCAGCAACACCACAGCACGTGTTACTGCAGTCACTCAGCTCACAATGATTCGTGATTCATGAGTCATACATTAGACATCAGTGGGCAACTGGGCCGCCCAAAGACTGCAAGGAAGACAGGCCGGTGCCTGCTGCCCTTCCCCCAGCTCCTCCTGCTCTCTCTCAAAGAGCGCTCAGCACAAGGAAGGCAGAGGCCAGCACATGCCTGGGGCCTCTCTGGCCTGGGCCTGCCTGCCAGCCATCAGCGGATGGGGGCAAAGACAGAACCAGACATGAGAACAGGAGGGCACAGGCCTTGGTAGGGCTGGCAGGTTGGTCTGGGCAGAGACAAGGGAAGAGTGGACACTGAGAACACATGGTTCTCATACAGCCTCAGGGGGTCGGGGGATTCCTAGGAAGGCCCAGGGGACTGATACAGGAGGGTACTCCCAGATGGAGAAGATGGGCAGGGTCATGAAGATGGATGGGGCCATGTGGGTGGGCAGTCACAGCCATGAGGGTGGGAGGGGCTGTGATAGTGGGAGGGGCCTGAAGGTGGGTGAGGCCACATGGTGGGAGGGTGGGAGGGGCCTGTGTGGGTGGGGCCATGCAGATGGGAGGGGCCACAGCATGAGGGTGGCATGGGCTGTGGTGGAAGGAGGGGCCTTGAGAGTGGGCAGGGCCATGCAGTAGAAGGAGCCACGTGAATGGGAGGACCCAAAGCCATGGTGGTGGGAGGGGCTGTGGGTGGGGCCATGTGGTGGAAGGGACTGGATATAGGAGGGGCCACATGGTGGGAGGAGCCATAGCTGAGAGAATAGAATGGGTTATGATAGTGGGATGGGCCTTAAGGGTGGGCGGGGCCACATGGTAGAAGGGGCCTTGGGGATGGAAGGAACCACAGCCATGGGAGGGAATGGGCTGTTTCTGGATCTCTCCTTCCAAAGGAGGCTTCTAAGGCCTTCAGTCTTAACTTCCCACCCTCTTCTGTCCTCCAGAGGAAGGTGCGGGACCCTGGCTCCCCACTTCTGATTCCTATACCCCCTACTCTTATGCTTCTTCCTGCCCAGCCCCTCTCCCTCCCTGTGAGTCCGTCTTTCCCTCTCTCCATTGCTTTCCCTTTCCCGCATGGGGCCACACTCACGTCCTGCTGCGAGGCCTGTGGGGAGAACACCTTGTCCAGCTCGAAGGACACAGGCTTTCCCTTGTGCAGCAGGTGGATGATGGAGTCGTCGTCGGCATCGAAAGTCACAGCATTGGTGGCCTCAGGTCCTTCCCCATCCTCTTTGGTGACTGGCCGGACACGAGCAATCACTCGGATGTTCCCTGGGTTGGTTGGGGATGGGGAAATGGGCCCAGGCCATGTCAAGACCAGTCTCCACTCTGGTCCACTGGTGTCCCAGGCAGACCAGTTGGCCTAGGAGTCCCCTGACTTTTAAGCACAGCCCCCTAGGGGAAGGGGGCCCACAAAGCTGTTATCCATCATTCACACTATAGTATGAATTCACTTAGTACATTTCTTCTTGAACAGACCAGCTGACTGGGGTGGAGCTCTGCCTTGGGGATGGGGAGGAAAGGTCAGTTGTGGGGCTCAGGCACTGCACCCAGTCAGGATGAGACGCCAGAATGGATACTCTCTTTTCCTCCCTGGACTTCAGTTTCTTCATCTAGACAGTGAGGGGCTTGGGCCCCAGTGAGCAAAGAGCCTTCTCCTGAATGGCAGGACAGGGCTTAGGAATCAGATGGGCATATAGGCCTGGCAGCAGGTGATGACTGATGGTGTATCTGAGGGCCCAGATAGTGGGGCAGCCACAAGGGTATCTGGCAGCATGAGCTGGTCATGCCACCATCTACTTCCAGCCTTCGTTGGGATTCCTGTGCTCTTGTAATGAAGAGGAAACATCCTCCACTTCCAGCATGGCCCACCTGCCCTCCCTTTTCACCCATCTGTTCCAGCTCACCATCCAGGTCTCAGCTCTAACTTTGCCTTCTCTGGGAAGCCCCTCAACACATTTGCCTGTCCCATACCCAGGAGAGCCTGTCTCAGCCCTGGAAAGGGGCAGGGTTGGGGTTCCCTGACAATCACCATTGTCCATTCTCATACTAAAGTGAGCACCAGGAGGCAGTCTGTGGGGCCATGACCATAGCCTCGGGCTGGAACGGCACCTGGCACAGAGCAGGCACTCTAGAGCTCCATGCAGTGCATGGTGGAGTCTCAAGCTTGACCAGGCCCCAGGTCAGAACAAGTGGCTTTCCAGCTGCCAACAACCCAGTGCTGCAGTACCACACCCCTCGGCCATCCAGGGCCTGGGGAGTCACCTGCCCAAGCACTGGGGCCAGGGCTTCTGAGCTGGACAGACTCAAGTTCAAATCCAAGGCGGACCATTTAATATCCCTGTGGCTTTGAGCAAGTTCCCTGCCTTCTCTGTGCCTCTGTTTCCTTATCTACAGAGATGGGATTAGAATAGCGCCTCAACGGTGGGGTGAGCTCCAGGCATGACTGCCAAGCCAGGTCGAGGCCCCGAGGCTGGTGTCCACCCCCAGCCCTCCTGCAGTCACCTTTCAGCCGCACGAGCTCGTTGTGGCACTTCTTGCGCAGCTGCAGCTCACGGCGGTACTTGCGCAGCAGCTCCTGGTTGTTGCTGTTGACCTCCTCGATGGCCTGGCCTATCTGGTGGGGGGTGCACACCACTGTCAGGGGGTCAGCTCCATCAGCCTTGCTGGCCCAACTGCCCACCCCTGAGGGGTGCTCACTGCCTCCTGCCCCTGGCTGAGTACCTGACGCACACTATCACATGTCAGACTATCGCAATCACCCCTCTGGGTAGGTACTGCTGCCATCCCCATTTTACAGATGATGAAACTGAGCCCCAGAGACTCTAAGCTGACAGCTCAAGGCTGCTCTGCTAATAAGCATAGAGCCAGGACTCAGTCTCCACACCATAGCACGAGTGCTTGACTATGTGATTCAACCAGACTCAAATTCCAGCCCTGCCCCTGAGTAGCTGGGGACCTGAGACTGCTGACTCAATGTCTTTAAGCCTCAATTTTCACATCTGGAAAACAGGGATAATACCATCTAACTCATGAATCTATAAAGATCTCCCAGTTACATTTCACAGGGGGAAAGAAGATGCAAAATCACACATACAGTATCCCGCTGTATACAGAATCACACGTCCCCTTTCTGGGGTAGAAGGAAAGTGTATACAGTGTATACAGTCGTCCCTTGGTAACCATGGAGGATATAAAACTCCACAGATGCTCAAGCCCCAGATATAAAATGATATAGTGTTTGCCTGTAACCTACACACATCCTCCCATATACTTTACTTTTTTGAGACAGGGTCTTGCTCTGTTGCCCAGGCTGGAGTGCAATCACAGCTCCGTGGACGTGGTGGAAACTCATCATGAATGGTGTTATCTTGGCTCACTGTAGCCTCGACCTCCCAGGCCCAAGCGATCCTCCCACCTCAGCCTCCAGAGTAGCTGGGACTACAGGTGCAGGACACTGCACTCAGCTAGTTTTTTTATTTTTGTAGAGATGGGGTCCCACTATGTTGCCCAGACTTGTCGTGAACTCCTGGGCTCAAGTGCTCCTCCTGCCTCAGCCTCCCAAAGTGTTATGATTACAGGCATGAGCCACTGTGCCCAGCCCCGCCCATGTACTTTAAATCATCTCCAGGTTACTTACAATACCTAATACAATGAAAATGCCAGGTAGGGGCTGGGCGCGGTGGCTCATGCCTGTAATCCCAGCACTTTGGGAGGTCAAGGTGAGCAGATCGCCTGAGGTCAGGAGTTCAAAACCAGCCTGGCCAACATGGTGAAGTCCTGCCTCTATTAAAAATACAAATCAACAACTACAAAAAAAAAAACCTAGCTGGGCATGGTGGCATGTGCCTGTAATCCCAGCTACTGAGGAGGCTGAGGCAGTAGAGTCACTTGAACCCGGGAGGTGGAGGTTGCAGTAAGCTGAGATCCCGCCATTGCACTCCAGCCTGGGCAACAAGAGCGAAACACTGTCTCAAAAAAAAAAAAAAAAAAAAAAAAGCTGTGTAAATAGTTGTTATATGTTATTTTTATTTCTATTATTTTTAAATGTTGTACTGTTATTTTTAATCTTCTTCAAATATTTTTGATCTGTGGTTGTTTGAATCTGGGAGCGCAGAACCTGTGGGTGGGGGAAGGGCCTACCATATATTCACATACACACATATCAATTGGCTTAAGCATGCTCAGAATGGTCAGGGGGAAATGCTGAGAGGCCACACTGGGGGAGTTGGGTGGGTGGCAGAGAGGCCTTTCCTATTCACCTGATGCCCTGCTATGGAGTTTGACTTTTCACCATGTCCACGTATTACTGACATACTCTTTTAAAGGAGAAGAACTATATTCTGTTCCCAAAATATATTAGTCTCTGCAAAGCTATCATACAAATTCAAGGAGCTAACCACTATAAACAGCTCGACATGTAGGAGGCACTTAAGAGGCGCTGGCTATTCTCATATGTACAAGTACAGCTTGAAAGAATTAAGTTAAACCTAACAGAGATAAGACTGTATCGGCCAGTCATGGTGGCTCACACCAATAATCTCAGCACTGTGGGAGGCCAAGGCAGGAAGACTGCTTGAAGCCAGGAGTTCAAGACCAGTCTGGGCAACATAATGAACCCTGTCTCTAATAGATAATGTTTTTAAAAATATGTATGTAGCATGTTTTTTGTTTTTGAGATAGAGTCTCGCTGTCACCCAGGCTGGAGTGCAGTGGCACGATCTTGGTTCACTGCAACCTCCACCTCCCGGGTTCAAGTGATTCTCCTGCCTCAGCCTCCTGAGTAACTGGAATTAACAGGCACCTGCCACCATGCCCAGCTAATTTTTGTGATTTTAGTAGAGATGGAGTTTCACCATGTTGGCCAGACTGGTCTCAAACTCCTGACCTTGTGATCCGCCCGCCTTGTCCTCCCAAAGTGTTGGAATTACAGGTGTGAGCCAACGCGCCTGGCCTGCATGTTTGAAATATGAAGTTATCTGTAACATGTTTGGTTTAAAGAATCATAGTAAGACAAATAGCCGAATGCCTGCCCTAAGCAGTCTAGTTTCAAACAGGGCCTATAAGGGCAGCAGTAAGTGTCATGGTGGGTGGGGCAGGGGCTGCTGTCTGAGGGGCTTTGTCTGAGTTTTGGAGGGAAGCCCTGGGTGGATGTCGTGCCTCTCCCACTGCGCTCCCTCACCCTGGACCCTCCCCCCCACTGCCCTCGCTCACCTCGGCCTTGACACTCCTGAGGGCTTCCTGCAGCAGCAGCGGGAAGCCACGCACCTGCCGCTTGAGCCCGTTGTAGTCGTTGGTGAGGGTCCGCAGTGCTGGCTGCAGGGTCAGCAGGTTGGTCCGGACGCCTATGGGGACACTTGGGCTGTGAGGCGGGAGGGGATGAGAGGCCGCGGTGTGGGGCAGACAGGGCCCCAGTCAGCTCACCTGCTAGATTCTCGTGCACAGCCTTCATCTCCACCTGGGCTCTGGCAAAGGCCTCCTCAATGGCCCGGTTCTTGTCCTCTTCCAGGGACTGCATCTCCTCCAGCATCTGCCCATGGGCCCGCTCCAGCTCTGACTCGTACATGGCAATCTGGCAGCCAGACCAGGAGAAGGCTCAGTACCTCGAGGTGTGGGAGGGAGAGGGGCAGGTGCCATACCGAGAAAGAAGCCCCACTGGTCACCTCCCATGCCCATGAACACACATGCACACACACATGTGCACACACGGAGGGGTAGAATGGCCTTGTCTCTCTCCCCATAAAGGGCTGTGAGCTCTGTACATTGGCCCCCAACACCAACCCAGTACTAAGCACACATCAGGTGCCCAAGTCGCGTGCCCTCAGGAAGGTAGGAGAGGGCCTCTGTGATGACAGTGACGAGTACCACTGTAGAGCTTACTGAGCAAGCCTGTGTGCTGGGCCCTGGGCAAAAAGCTTCCTGGGATCACGTTCCTGAGTCCCCACTGTGAGGTGGGTTCTGGGACCAGATCATGTTATAATAGATGAGGAAATGGACACCGGACAAAACTTGCCCTGGGTCGCATGGCCATCGGGGAGAGGAGGGACTGGACCCCATGTCTGTGGGGTGTCCGAATGCTTAACCGGTGCATTGGCCCAAGGGCCTGCCTCTGGCTTCCTGGCTGGGCGTGTGCCCCCACACAGCCTGTGTACCTGCGCCCGGAGCCGCGCGGTCAGCTGGTGTGAGCTCTGCAGCTGCTGTTCCATCTCCTTCAGCACCTGCCTCTGCATAGCCACCTGCTCCTGCAGGTGCTGGTTGCGGGCCTGGGACTCGCTGAGGGCCTGCTTGGTCTTAGACGACTCCACCTCCACTGTCTTGATGACATACTGCGGGGCGAGGGAAGAATGGCGCGTGGAGCCAGCAGGCACCAGACCTCACCCCAGACCCTGAGACGCAGCCGGCCAGGGGAAGGAACTCTCAGGAACATCCCACTCAGAAACCCGGAAAAAACTAGAGGAGCCTTGAGGTCCTGGCTTTCCAGAAAGCTGGGGGGTCTCCTGGAACCCCCTCTTCTTTTTTTTTTTTTTTTTGAGACGGAGTCTCGCTCTGTCGCCCAGGCTGGAGTGCAGTGGCCGGATCTCAGCTCACTGCAAGCTCCGCCTCCCGGGTTTATGCCATTCTCCGGCCTCAACCTCCTGAGTGGCTCGGACTACAGGTGCCCGCCACCTCGCCCGGCTAGTTTTTTGTATTTTTTAGTAGAGACGGCGTTTCACCGTGTTAGCCAGGATGGTCTCGATCTCCTGACCTCGTGATCTGCCCATCTCGGCCTCCCAAAGTGCTGGGATTACAGGCTTGAGCCACCGCGGCCGGCCTGGAACCTTCTCTTCTTAACAAGAGGCTACTATGAGCCTGCCTAGGGCCCCATCCTGGGTACAAACAAGAAAGGCAAAGATGGGGGCAGAATCCAGAGGCTGTGCTGCATCTGTGCCTGGCACCTCAGTTGTTGGATACCTACTCGGTGCCTGGCTCTGGATACAGGAAGGGAAAGGGGCAGGATCAAGCACAGAATTGGAATGATTCCTCCACCCACATGCACCTACCTATTGACCAGGTCAAGCTCCTCTTATGGGCTGGCCTTGCCCCAGGCACCGAGGGGCCTTGGGCTGAGGCACAGATCAGGTGGGCCAGGGCTCACCTTGACAGGCGGGGACTGGGCCCGCAGGCTGGCAATGGTCTCGTGGCTGTCACGCAGGCGCCGGCTGAGTCGCTCCTCCTCCTGTGCCTTCTCAGCCAGGCAGTCCTTGAGCCGCAGCTCCACCTCAGCCAGCCGGTCAGTCTTCTGCTGCACCTCCAGGTTCAGCTCTGACAGCATGCCTTTGCTCTCCGCCATCTCCAGCTGCAGCTGGGACAGCTTGTCACGGAGCTGGGCACTCTCCTGCAGCCAGTGGGAGGCACTAGATGAGTGCAAGGGACAGGCTCACTCTGAGGAGCCGGGGTGGCCCTCCAGGACCAGCATGGGGGCTGCGGCCATTCTGCTCACCTGGCTGTGCTCACAACCCGGGCAGGGACCTGCTGGCTTTGCACGTAGCTCTTGCAGCTCGGCCTCGCAGCGCCGCATCTCCTGTCTCAGTCGCTCATTCTCCACCATCAGCAGGTCCCGGTGCTTCTCCAAGTCGGTGCCCCCCTGCAGAGAGCCAGGGCCGAGGGGGCGCATGTGGTGAGGGCAGATGGCAGGGGAAGGAAGAGGGGCCAGCGGAGACGGCACAAGGGCAGGGGAGAGAGGGGAGGTGAGGAGAAAGGCAGAGGGAAGGAGAAAAAGGAAAAGGCAAGCGCAAGAGAGGAGGGAACGAGCTCAAGAGAGAAACCAAGAGAAAGACAGTGGAAGGCAGAGTCGAGAAGGGTGGCAACCCAGGGCCTGCTCGCCCTGCTGCCCCTATTCTGAGTGTGAAAGTCACAAGGAGAGACATATTTCTACCAGGGTTCACACTCCTGTTTAATGTCAGCAACCGGGAAGGAATCTCCCACCCCTTGGAGCCACAAGGCCTCTGAGGGTACCAGGACGTGGGGATAAGGCTCTCGGTGTGTTTCTGAGACAGGGTGGGATGGATGTGTGGGCTCAGCAGAGAGAGGGTTGCACCCCTGCCCCTGGCAGGGCCCATCTACACAGGGCCAGGCCAGCCCCCTGTGCTGCCCCAGGACAGCCTTGTGGCCTCACCAGCTCAGATCGCAGTCGGCTCACTTCCTGGGCCTGGCTAATGAGCTTCTCCTTCAGGTGTTCCACCTATGGGCACAGAGTCAGGAGCAAGGTGAGACTCAGTCCTCAGCTCCAGCCCACACCCAGGCCTCCTGCCCAGCACCAGGGATGACTGATGTGGCCGTGGCTTCTTCTAAGGCTGTGGCCTTAGGTTCCCCTATGTTCAAGCATCCCGTCACACCTGGGACTTCAGGTGAGCGAAACCTGGGCTGGTACTGACAGCCTCCCGTGCCCTCTCCCTCCACAGGACAGAGCCAGCCCCAGCTCTTCAGGAAAGCCCAGAGAGCAAGTGCAACCAAAGCCACCCCAACGCCACCTGGGACCACCCAACGGCAGCCCACCCTCGGGACCCCTCACTCCACGAGCCCCTTCCAAAGCCCTGTCCCTGCCTGTGTCTATGTAATGTCATGTTCTCTCTCTTTCCTGTCCCTGCCTGTGTCTATGTAATGTCATGTTCTCTTTCCTCTACCTGCCTGTGTCTATGTAATGTCATGTTCTCTCTCTCTCCTCTACCTGCCTGTGTCTATGTAATGTCATGTTCTCTCTCTCTCCTCTACCTGCCTGTGTCTATGTAATGTCACGTTCTCTTTCCTCTACCTGCCTGTGTCTATGTAATGTCATGTTCTCTCTCTTTAAAGGGGCCCCCAGATTATACATACTCCAGGTCCTCCGAGCCCTGGATTCACCCTGGCCCAGCCCCCAGAATTTTCCACTTGGGGTGGTCTCTGGCAAGTCGACCTGTGGAGATGGGTCTTCCAGTAGCCAGAGCACACTTAGAACCTGTGTCCACCCCTGCTCCCAATCTGCTTTGCAGGAGAGCTGTGGCGGCCAAGACTATTAGAGGGGGAAGAGGGTGTGCACCCCATGAGGAAGCCATGGTTACCTGGCTTATCCCGACCCCAGAAGAGGGGACACCATCATGTGCCAGTCCCATGAGGGCAGATCCCAGGGAAGCAACCCTTCCCCGGAGCTGTCCTCCAGCCAGCCATCCCCTCCCAAGGCCCAGACCCTGGTCTCACATCAGCCCACCCCCAGAAACCTCTCCTCAGGAAACAATCCGCAGACACAGACTTTGGCTCCAGCTTCCGTCAGGGCATGTTTAGGACTTTTCTTGCAGAACGTCCTGTAGTGAGCATCCCTCACCTCAGGAAAGGTATGTTAAGAGCCAGATTCCTATGTGGTAGTTTAGGAGGTTTACACAGCTGGGTTCTCATTACTAAATGACAGGCAACAATGTCCACTGACTACAGGGGAAAGCCAGGTAAGGCGGGTGAGGGGCTGTGCAGGGCTGGACTCCCAAGAACCCCTAAGAAGGCGGCCACCATTTTTTCCCCTCAGACCACGGGAGGTGAAAACGTACACCCAGCATCGCGAAAATTCTCATCTTTCAAGAAAGGCCTAGGCCAGCCTGAGCAACATAGCAAGACCCCATCTCTACAAAAAGTTTCAAAACTCAGCCGAGTGTGCCAGTGCACGCTTATAATCCCAGCTGTAATCCGGAGGGTTAGGATCACCTGAGCCCAGGAGTCTGAAGCTGCAGTAAGCTATGATAGCACCACTGCACCCCAGGGTGACAGAGCGAGGCTGTCTCAAAAAAAAAAAAAAAAAGAGGTTTAGAGTCTGCCCCCTTAGCACAGCCAGCAGCATGCATCAGCCATAGTTAAGACAGGCCAGACATCTGGATTTTGCGGGGTGTGTGTAAAATCTCCCTACTTTACATGGTTGAGACGTCATCAAGCTAGTCCCTGTCATCAAACAAGGTAGTGTTCGGCCTCGGAGGTCCCTGTCTCCCAGGGCTGGAGAGAGCGCTGACTCACAGCAGTTAGGCCTGCTCTGAGTGGTCAGGGGTGGACCAAGGGATCCACCCCCACCTCTGAGAAAAAGGCCAGGGAGCTGGCTTTGCCTACTGTGAAGTGGGGCAGGGGGATTCCAAAATGCAAGACCCAGGTGAAAGGCTGGGGACCCAGCCAGGCCTCCTGGGGGACAAGCAGGTGATCCAAAGGCCAGGCCCCAGGAGGTCAGCTCTGCTGCCACCTGGACAAGCACATTCCTTCCTAGCAACACGCTGGGCCACAGGCCAGGCAGGGAGGCAGAGCTTGCACCACTTCTCTGCCCACTCAGTGCCCGACGAGAGGACGGCTCAAGTCCTTTGGCCCCAGGTGGGAGTAGGGACAGTTTGCATGAGGCAGCCTTTCTGCTAATTTAGTCCTAAAATTGAGAATACCCTGAATACCCATGCTTAGAGGAGTGGGCAGCTGAATTACAATGTGTATATACATTACATGGACATTCAGTCATTACATCCATGTTTATCAAGAGTTTTAAATATCATGGGGAAAGGCTCAACATATTAAGTCCAAGAAACATCTGAAAAACCATTGAATATACAGTACTAAAAAGTGGGGATCTCTGGGTTGTGGAATTATAGTTGACAAAATCTTTATGCTTTTCAGTAATTTTTTTTTTTCTTTTTGAGACAGGGTCTCACTCTGTCACCCAGGCTGGAGTGCAGTGCCGCGATCTAGGCTCCCTGCAGCTAGACCTCCTGGACTCAAGGCATCCTCCCACCTCAACCTCCCGAATAGCTGGGACTACAGGCACATACCACCACGCCCAGCTAATTTTTTTTTTTTTAATATATAGACAGGGCCTTGCCATTTTGCCCAAGCTGGCCTTGAATTCCTGGCCTCAAACAATCTTCCCGCCTCAGCCTCCCAAAGTACTGGGATTACTGTTGTGAGCCACTGTGCCCAGCCAGTAATTTTTCAGTCTCAAAGAATATGTATTCCTACTCTTCCTACCCTGACATAAGTGAATCGACTTTCTTTTCAAAAGGTTGGAGTCTTCTTCCACCCCACCTCCCTCCCCCAGACAGGCTGCTGCCTCAGCATGGGGCTGGGCGTGCTGACCTTGATCGTCTCCACTGTCGCCACTGCCAGGCACTCCGACCCCGATGCAAGGAGAGCGGGGTTTGCCAGTGTTTGCTGGGGGTGGGAGGCGGGATAGCTACTGGCCACCTGCCTGCGGCGGCCCGGGGTTCTGTTCTGTCCTTGCATCACAATGGGAACCTGGGGGCTCCTGGGTTCTGTCTGGAATCTCAGAGGGGTGCCCAGAAGGAGGTGGCTGCAATGTGGGGGGATCAGGCTCGGGGAGCATGGGGGATGGTGAGGGAGTTGAGGAAGGGGCTGTAAAAGGCCCCTTTACTCAGAGATGTCAGACACTAGGTCATCTCTGGCTTGTTGCGGGCAGCAGAGCAGGGGGACTATGGCTGAGACGCAGCAGACTAGCACCACGAGCACTCTGGCCCAGGCACCAGTGACCTGCTCCGTGGCAGGTGGCTGGCCAGCTCTACTGGGTGTAGGTCTCGGGCTTGAGGGGAAGATGTCCGCTTTCTCCTGCACTTGAAGGCAGGCAATCTCTCAGAATTAGGGAAAACAGGCAAGAAGTCAGAGAGAAGTGGAGACACCTGGGGAAGGCCGATGGGAGACGGCCTGGGAGCAGGGAAAGCCAAGAGCAGGCAGAGCCAGAAGGCAGGGCCTTCCTCAGGGGAGACCGAGGGCCCTTCACACACTCACCGCAGCTCCCAGCCAGCAAGGGCCGTCCGTGTCTCTAAGCCCACCAGGGGAGGGTCCCAAGCACCACCATGGGCTCGATACATACTTGTGGCCGCAAAGGGGCAGCGGGCACATGCCTGAGCCCAAGACACAGGATGGAGGAGAAAGCAGGTTCCCCACTAGGCCGCTGAGACGGTTCCAGGACAGCATGGACGTCAATCCAGGGCTGAGGACGGACCAGGCTGGGGCTGTGCGACACTCCTCCCAGGCCCAAGCTCTTCATCAGCCAGAGCAACTAAATCACGGGCCTGCTGCAGGGGGCCTCGGCCCTGCCTGCTCAAGGGGAAGAGGGAGCTGGGCCTGTCTGCCAACTTGACACCACCTGCATTTACACTTCACAGGCAGAAGCTGCTCGACCGAGGGCGGGGCCGGCCAGCCCAGGTCTGTGTTTTCTCAGCTGTCTGCTTCCAAGGCGGCCTCTTGCTATCACAGAGAGAAAACCTGCTGGTTACCTCTTTACCTCCCACCAAGCCCAGCAATGATCATCAGCTGTCTGCTAAGGAAAAGCGGCCTCTCCCAGGCGGAAACTGCTGAGCTGGGAAGGCCAGAGGGCCTGGAATCCAGACAACCTCAAGGAAACTCAGCCCAGAGGCCAGCCAGGCAGCCCTAGCAGCATACCCTGTGGAACCCACAGAAGGCCTGATCCTGGCTCTATGACCACTGGCCAGGCCTGTCTGTCCCCTGTCCATGCCACCCTGCCTCTGTTGCCAAGTCTTCACCTCTGGGTCCTTCTGCCACTGACGGGCAAGTAATAGCAGCTGACAATTTGAATTCTTAAGCCAGGCTGCCCAGGTTCTAATCCAGACATTCCCTTACCCACTGGGTAACCTTGGACAAGTCTCTTAAGTTCTCTATGTCTCTTAGTTTCCTTATTTGTATAATGAGGCCACCTCTTGGAGGCTGTCTTGAGGATTAAATGAGTGATATATGCGAAGGAAAGGTCTGTGAAGGCAGGGATTTTTGTCTGTTGTGTTCAGCACTGTACTCCCAGTGTCTGGTACACAGTAGGTGTTCAGTAAGTACATGTAGGAAGAATGCTGAATGCATGAGGGGCCAGCCAGAGCAGAGCTTGTGGATGAGGTTGGTAAGCAGAGACAGAAAGGGTGGGGGGGCTGGAGTGTGCTGAAGGATGCTCATCTCCACCAAAGGCAGGAGCTGCCACTCGACCTCAAGCGGTGGGTGCCATGTGGGAATGTCAGCTCAGAGGTGCCACATCTTCCAATATTTCATGACAAAAAGGAAGTCTAGAGTTTTATATGAATTTAATTAAGATTTAAATGTTGGAATTAATTTGATTTTAAAAGCAGGGCAATTAGAACTAATAAATTCAGCAAAGTTGAAGGACACAAAATGAACACACAAAAATCGGTTACATTTCTACAAGTAACAATAAACAATCCAAAAAGGAAATTAAGAAAATAATTCCATTTACAATAGCATCAAAAAGAATAAGGTACTGAGGAATAAACTTAACAAAGGTTAAATATTGTATGCTAAAAACTACAAAATACTGGTGAAAGAAATTAAAAATGACGGCCGGGCGTGGTGGCTCAAGCCTGTAATCCCAGCACTTTGGGAGGCCGAGACGGGCGGATCACAAGGTCAGGAGATCGAGACCATCCTGGCTAACACGGTGAAACCCCGTCTCTACTAAAAAATACAAAAAACTAGCCGGGCGAGGTGGTGGGCGCCTGTAGTCCCAGCTACTCGGGAGGCTGAGGCAGGAGAATAGCGTGAACCCGGGAGGCGGAGCTTGCAGTGAGCTGAGATCTGGCCACTGCACTCCAGCCTGGGCGACAGGGTGAGACTCCGTCTCAAAAAAAAAAAAAAAAGAAATTAAAAATGACACCAATAAATGGAAAGACATTCCATGTTCATGGATTAGAAGATTTAATATTGTTAAGGTGTCGATACTACCCAAAGTGATCTACAGATTCAATGCAATGCCTAACAAAATCCCAATGACATTTTCTGAAGAAATAGAAAAATCCTTATCAGGGGACACCATATAGCTAAAACAGTCTTGAAAGACTGAAGGTCTCATACTTCCTGGTTCCAAAACTCACTAAAAAGCTACAGCAATTGGCTACAGCAATTACTGGCTCATGCCTGTAATCCCAGCACTTTGGAAGGTCGAGGCAGGCAGATCACCTGAGGTCAGGAGTTCGAGGCCAGCCTGGCCAACATGGCGAAACCCCATCTCTACTAAAAATACAAAAATTAGCCAGGCCTCATGGCAGGCACCTGTAGTCCCAGCTACTCAGGAGGCTGAGGCAGGAGAATCACTTGAACCCGAGAGACAGAAGTTGCAGTGAGCTGAGGTCGCGCCTCTGTGCTACAGCCTGGGCGACAGAGTGAGACTCCATCTCAAATGAAAAAAAAAAAGCTAGAGCAATCAAAGCAGTGTGGTACTGGCATTAAAACAGACATAAATACCAATGGAATGGAATACAGAGTCCAGAAATAAACCCTGACATACATGGTTAAATGATTTTTGACAAGGTTGCCAAGACCATTTAATGTGGGAAAGGATAATCTTTTCAACAAATGGTGCTGAGAAAACTGGATATCCACAGGCAAAAGAATGGAGTTGGATCCTTACCTTATACCATATACAAAAATTCACTCAAAATAGATCAAAGAGGGCCAGGCATGGTATAATCCCAGCACTTTGGGACGCCAAGGTTGGAGGACTGCTTGAGCCCAGGAGTTCTAGACCAGCCTGGGCAACATAGGGAGACCCTGTCTCTACAACAAGTAAACAAAATTAGCTGGGCATGGTGGCACATGCCTGTGGTCCCAGCTACTAGGGAGGCTGAGGCGGGAGGATCACTTGAGCCCAGGAGGCCAAGGCCGCAGTGAGCCATGATCACACCACCACACTGCAGCCTGGGCAACAGAGCAAGATCTTGT